TCAGCAAAATGACCCATCATTACTCAATTTTAGTCTTAACAATTTCAATAAATATAACTTCTGAAGAACCAGAATGCAGTTTTTATTTTATAATCAGTCGCTAGTACACAAAATAAATTTTTTAATTTTCTTAGATAAGGTAAGAGTGAATATTGGAAAATTTTAATTCTATTTATTTAATGGGGAACATGAGCACCTTTTATTTATTACAGTAATTGATTAAAGACTAACTTGTTTTATACTCACTCACTACTTCTATTATTTATGTCTTTAGAAATTGAAGGCATAAGCGACAAACCATGAACTGTTTGTACAGCTCAGGTACTTCCAGTTTTGCACTTTTTAAAGCCGCAAAACGATCCGTCAACAAAGAAAGCATATTTTCAGATGCCGATGTCTTTTCATCATTTCGCTGACTCCTTGCTAAGTAATCCGCCAGGCTATCACGTTTTGCCTTTCCTAATTTCTCCAGCTGCTCCACTTTCGGATCCTTTAGCTTTAAATGTTTCAAGTCTTTCAGTAAATCCTAAACAAATCAACTTTGCCACTTTTAAATATTTTATATTGAAAATTTAACAATTATATTCGGTTGATCTTTGGATTAGATTACGAAAAAACAATTACTATTATTTGGATCAGTTCAAAATTAAAAATAACTCTTGAAATAGAAAAGAGAAAAATGAGGTGACTAAAAACAATTTCAAACAGTACTCACGTCACAACGTTCAAGTTCACTGCTTAGCGTATTGATGTCGCCAGCACATGGAAAAGTAGAACGTAAGTAATTTTCGAAACGTTCAATAATTGGATCTTTTTCTATCAATTTATCTACCGATTGTTTCAATTCCATCAGATGTTTCTTCAAGTCTCCAATCTCAAATAGAAAGAATGCACTGCCTTCTTAATGGATATTGTAATAATCCTTAAAAATAAACGCTATAAGTTTAATTAGAAACAATCGTATATCCATTCAAAATTTTATTCTTTAAAGAATAGTTTCAACAAACTTTTCGATTTTTTTAAGAATTAAAAATAAGCAGGCTTTTTTGAGACACCTGCATATTAAAACTTCAAAAAGTATAAACATTGAAAGGTAATCACCCAAAAAAAAAAAAAAAAAAAAAAAAAAAAACATAAACGTTACTTTTAAAGGTGAATTAATAGTGAATCAAATAAGATGATTTGAGAGTTACCATAAGGAGGCTTTCTGAGTGCCTCAGAATTAAAACAGGTATATGCAACCGTTATTCAGTAAAACTTAATTAGTGATGCAGCTCTTCTCATAGACCCAAATGAACTTTTTTTTTTTTTTTTTCGGTAAAATTGCCAAAGTTTTCATTATACTTCCAATTCTCATTAGTTTGATAAAACAGACTGGAAAGAAAAAGGAAAAATTAAAAAACTACTCACTTGTTCTTTGTTAGGATAGTTAACTTCTAGAAATCTAATATGTTTATCTTGTTCTTGCAATTGCTTCTGTAATTTAATTACACGTTCTTCCCGTTCACTTAGTGGTATTTGAGCGCAATTCGAAACTACATTCTTGGATTTTTCAAAAAATTCATTTAATTGACTTGCTATTCGTTCCAATTCTTCATCGTTTTCAGCTGGAGAAAAAAAAAATGAAAAAAAAAATCAATTTTATTTCAAAAGTTTCAATATTGCCAACTTGTAGGAAAGTGACTTCTTCGAGTTTAAGATTTCTTCCTTCTCACTTCAGAATGCTTTATATTTATCTATATCTACATACTACTTTCCTCTATTTGGAACACATCAGACTTCAATAAATGCCTTGTTGATTCAATAATCTGATAGACTGCTACGAATGAAGAAGTCAGAATTATGTAAAGCATTACGAATAATGTTCACTACCTCCAATCAAGGTATCATGCGCTGACAAGGAATTCAGTGCATCAGATATTCTGGTAACAATATCAGACCATATCTGAGTAAAGTTCTGGAATGAATCATTTGCAAGTTGTAGTTGAGGAGTAGAAATATCGAGATTGTGAATTCGATCCAATTCTGCATGCAGTCCACTTACTTCTACTTCCTTTTCTTTAATTTCCTTCAGCTTGTCCTATAAAAAAAGCTTGCTATGCATTTAAGACTTTATTTACAAATGATGTCACATTTACTGCAGATTGTAGGAGAAGTTATTTTCATCTTAAGATTCTTTATTTAAAATGAGAAATTGTGGTCATAAACGCAGCATAAGTTTATTTTTTGCTACATACAAGTTTTCAAAAAGCTGAGATACTTGTACGATATTTTGGAATTCATCCGGATTTTGAGTAATTTTAAATTGATGTGTCCATTCACGTAATGGTTGCAATTCATCAGTAACACGGCTCACATTCGCAATGAAAACATCTACTGGTGAAATTACTGTGCTAACAGAAAGAGTTGATGAGGAAGAAATCATCGGATCAGTTGTTTCATGTGAAGTAAACTGAATTGTAGACTGAAAAAAGGATATTTCAAGGAAAGGATGCAATCAATAACCTAATCTACACTTGGCTCAATTATCGCGTTGATTCAACACCCATTTTATTAAACTTAAAATTTGTCGCGATGATCTGATAGATGTAACTTTTCTCATAATTTTCTTATAACATTGATAGCTAATAATCAGTCTCACATTTCTCATTTCATTCTATAACAACTCAGTCTGCACCGATTTAACTTACCAAAGGCTCACTTTCCAACTGACTGTCCACTTCCAAACAGTGATGTTCACTCGCCTTCTTGGTGATATAATCTTCTTCACTACTGTCAGGTCGAAGTTGTCGTGCTTCTGCTTTTCCACTCCTTACTAACTAAATGAAACGGTACTTCTCAAACATAAATTTTTCTTTTCTAATGAATTTTCACATTTCTGAGAAATTGAAATTGAAAATTTTTTTGAGAAATGATTCAAGAATTTTCTGGAAAAATCGGAAATTTTCAGGAGAAATACATCACTTCTAATTTAAATACTTGAAAATGGCATAGTTTTAGCAATAATAATAATAATAATAATAATAATAATAATAATAATAATAATAATAATAATAATAATAATAATAATAATAATAATAATAATAATAATAATAACAACAACTTAAGGATTAGAATTTAAATTTAACTAAAGTAAATTTGGGTTTTCTACCTTTCTTGGAAAAGTTGAGAAGAAACGAACCATGCGGGAATGGTCATCAATTCGAGCAACAATGTTATCCCAACGTTGGGTAACTGTTTCAATTTGTCGCCGAATTTGATTGGTATCTGTTTCATTAGTACTGTCGAGTTTAGCGATTAATTCAACGGCAAGTTGTGAAAGGTGAACAAAATCAGGATGACCCTGCTGTAGAGCAGATTCGAATTTCTGTATTAGATACACCTGATCAACTATTTCATTTTCCGCCTTCAATTCATCCACAGCCCGTAAACTTCCCATATCCTATAGCATATGTTATGACCATGAAAAGCAAATGAATAATGCGAATTATTCAATAAGAAATCAATTTCGGTATGCTAAAAATGCTAACGTATAACGCATGATTAACAGGATTGACTAAAACTGGAATGAGAATCAGAAAGATGAAGATGATGTAGAAACTAGACTTTGGAGGTGGGATATTTCAGAATAATCAATAAAACGATATTTGTAACAAATTATTAGTTTAGGATTACCATATATTCAATTATGGAGATGCCAACTGTGCCTCTGACTTATCAAAACGATAATTTTTGATTGGTCAAGAATGAAGAAAAATGCTAACATATATATATTTTTGTAACATTCCGAATCTCTAAATTAGTTTTAAATACAATGAACATTTTAAGAGAAAACAGTTGAATACTCTAATTTTATTCTTAAATGAAGAGAAACAAGATGTTTACAAAGTTTAAATGAATGAATATCTTTTCTTGGAAGTATCCATCTGTGCAACTGTATGGATTTCTAGATATTTTTTTCATGCTCAGATCTTATCAAATGGACCTTAAGTATGCGATATTTTCCTCCAAATAACAGAACCTTAGCGCATTTTCTCTTCATTTCAACTTATTTCTTGGTGGTAATAAGTGCATTTTCTAAGAGGCTGTCTTATGTAAATTAAATGATAGAGGCAGCTATTTACGTAATGTTTATGTAACGAATGGATAAGATATAAATGAAACTGCTGGAAAATAGTGTAACTGTTGTTAGTGGAAATTAAATGTATATTGTGGGATATTAAAATAAGAAATGAAAATGCAAATTATGAATAAAACAGACGGAAAGACTTTGAAAAAAAATAAAGGAAATTAAGAAGAAAATAGTTGGAAATTTCAAGGGGAATATTCAGAAATTGTAAAATGATGATTTATTCTTTTTATCAATGCTCTGATTCGGTAGTAATTTTACAAAAGCAGTAATTCCACTAATCCTGGTTAACATTCTTGTATGTTCTCATTTTCGGGTTCATATTATTTAACGGTTTGTTTGAGCAAGAAATAGATAAACGTAAACCAAAATGTTTATGCACGCATTAACCAACTATTATGACAAAATAAAACTTAATTTGCAAAAACCAGATACTTTCAGTTGTTTGCTTTATTACTGCCCAGTCCTTAAAATGTCACCGATAGAACATACAAGGTGTAATACATGCGAAATAACACGTAGTTTAGGAGAGACGATGAACTTTAAATGTTTAAAAAGAAGAATGAAACATTAAATGAAAAAGATATGCAAAGATGCAACAAGTCATTAAACACATCAATCATTGAAATATGTTTTTTGAAACTATTTAACTTCCATTCTTCCTCCAAATTAATTTCATTTATTTAATATCAATTAAATAGTGAACGATGAATTGTTGAGATAAAAATAAAAAATGAAAGAAACGTTTTTTCTGGATATTAATGGCAGAAGATTCTAGCAGGGACGCGAAAAGACTAAAGAGTTGATAAGTTTATAATGAAATGAAAAATATCTTTAAATTATCAGAATTGAAATTCTTCCATTCCTTGTTTTACTTTACCAACAATTTCATTTGGATATCATGCTTGCCTCCTTGACCTCTTATTCGAAAAAATTTGCTAATGTTGGCTTTGTTAGAAAACGTAGAAAAATAGAATTCGTTCAAGCTTACTTCTTCCCAAGTATTAAGCCATTCTAAAATCTTTCCATAATCCGAGTTGTATTGAGCGATCAGTTCCGATAAACCATTTAATTGTTGCGCGCGCATTTCAGCCCACTCACAGACACTCATCCACCTACAAAATTTATTTGAGAAAGTGAAAATTTGCTACTAAATCTGTAAAGACGCAAAAATCTCTTATAATTTAAGAGAAGAATTTCAAAAATTTCAACTGTGAAGACTTCTTCCCAAAAAACATTTCTAACTTTAATAATTTCTTGTCCCATTACTTTAATTCCTAAAATTTCAAGAAATGGAAAGTTCATTTATCAAAATGGATATTTGAATATACTAAGAAAGCTTCACTGGACGAATTAAAAACGAAAAAAGCAATCTGAAGAAAGGTAAGAGAAAAATAACCTTTGTCCAACGGACTGCAACAATTTTTCCAAATTTTCGTATGAGAAATGACAGTCTGATTCGTCTATCACAGCTACAAATGTTGATAAGCCTCGTACGATCTGTAATTATTTTTTTTATTTTAAACAATTAATTTAAAAAAAGAAAAAATGGGACAATATAGTAACCTATCTTTCACATCTCTTGTTTCGAGTAAGTTAATTTATTTGGAATTCTCGATATTGAACAATTAATTTAGTGAATTTGAGGAAAACTATGAAAAAAAAAAAGAAGCTTATAACAGGCATACTAGGTTGCATTGATGGCTTTTCCTGATTTTTTCAGAAAATATTCTTTGGTAAAATTATACAGTTTTAGGATACATTTACAGTTATAATAAAATTCCGGTAAATGAAAGAGTTTAACTACGAGCAAAGTAGAGAAAGACTATCTCATATTTGTATTTGAAGATAATGAAAGAAAATAATCAGAAAAATTTAAATCCTTCAAGATAGCTTTAGAAAAAATTTAGACTAAAATTATCAGAATTCAATATCAAATGAGAAATTAAATTTACTAAACAAAGAAGGAAATCAAATATTTCGAATTGAAGACATTTGTTGAAAAGAAATTTCAATTATAGAAATATGAGGGTAATAAATGGTATGATAAATATTGTTATTTAACAGTGACTGAGAAGTTCCGATTTAATTTCTCATTTTTTCTTTTTAATTTTTCCAACAATAATTAAATGAAAATAAAAATTCCAAAATAAATGGAAATTTCCCTAAATCAAACAGAGCAACGGAAAATAATTCAACCAAACTAAGTTGTTCATAAGAAAAAAATCACTCAAAAGTGTTTCTTGTTATCGATTTTTTTTTCTCTTGATGAAAAGAGCATACACTAATAGGCCAAGATATATGAGTTAGGATTTTCTAGGCTATCATTACAAGCTATAAAGTTCATCAATAGTGCGAAATGTTAAGTTTGAAACATTTCAAAAAGTCGCTAATTGATTGCATTCAATATTTTTTGATTGCAAAAGTAAATTAAGTGCAGCAGAAGAATTACACTTATTAGGATTGAAGTGTTACTAAAACACTATTTCCTGATATTTAAGGGAGAGAACAGTAGACAAAAACTGCCACACAGTTACATTTCAATCATAATCTCAGAAAACTAAATGATTCGTTTTCCCACTCAAAAATCTGATTTGTCGAAGAATGCTCAATGAAAGCACAAAATGAATTTTCCTTTTGTACAGAATTTCATTTCATTACAAATCTGACACTGCCTGTGCTCAGTTCCGTTTCGACTGTTTAAATGTAAGATAGTCAAAATTCTATAGTTATATTGGAATACAGGCGCTTGAAATAATTGGAAACTAATCATAATATTTGGAATAATACTGCTCAGATACAATATGTGACATAAAGGAAATTAGGCCTCTAACATGTATCGCCAAAGAATTTTTTGCAGTGCTACCATAAACAAGTTACTTTGAAAAGAGTTGAAAGGAGCATAGAAGTATGGCAGAACACGTTTCACGTTTTAACCAGTACACATATTTAGACACACATTACAACTACACTCGTTCTGAAATCTTGTCCGCTAACACCATCCAATTAATTACTCTTTCCAAATTTACCACCAAAAATTTCCCTCTCTCTCTTACTCTTTGCATATTGAAAATCATTTCACAAACTATTTACTTCAATGACCTATTCATCGCTTTTGTTAGCAAGCAATTAATAATACTATTATATGAAATAAGCTAAGTACAAATATTCAACAATTATTTTTCATACATTTTTTGCTTTTAATTTTCTTACTAGCGTTAAGTAATTGATACGGATACAGGAATATATATATATATTATTTACACACTTTAAATTATGCAGAAAGCATAACAATCAAACAGTAAGCCTTACTTATGCTATGCTTACATCTCTTGTAACAATTTAAAGAAAGTGCTTGAGCGCTTGAGGTGACAACTGGAAAATTACTAGAGCTGTTCAACCATTGAGAGAATGACTTACTGTAATTTTTCACTCCTAAAGAGATGAGATTATTGTGCAAGACTGATGCACAATAAAGTTAGTAAGTTTAGTTGGAATCATTTAACTCGCCTTTTGTTCATTCTCGATGCGCTCTTGAATTGCTGCATGGGCATTGATTAATTGCTCAATTTCACTTCGATTCATTGTCAGAGGTAGCGCATTTTGGATTTCTTCTTCCATACTATCCAGCCATTTCCTGAAAAACAAACAAGATGGAATATCGAAAATAACCGGAAAATCATCAGATTATTTAGAACCGAATAATAAATTACACTAAGGAAAATTATAGTGCAATCTTATTACAATTTATGCAAAGGGAAAAGTAAGTTAATGAAAAATTAAATGAAATAAATTTTAAAAAATTTTCATTTACATTCCATACTATTTCAATGAATAGATGAAATTTTACTCTCTCACAATAGACTCACATTACTCTCACATTACTTAAAACAATTCCAAATGTTAGCTCACTAAGATTGACAAACTTTTTAAGATTGTTTCATCTGGAAAAAACAAAATACAATATATGAACAAAGCATTAGAAGAGAGATTGGTTACGTGATAGTTGCGTCAACTTTGAAATATGGATGAATTTCCAGAGACAAATTTTAATTCTTTTATTTAAGAGTGAAATTAAAAATCAATTATAAAGTAATGAAAAACTTTTTCAGAACAAAACTGCATATCAGAATGAAGTACTGTTAAAATATTTGAAAGACAAAAACGAAAAATCAATAATAACCTGATTGATTCGAGCTGCTTGATTTGAGCTGTATTCAAACAATGCTGAAGCTGATTTTGTCGTGACATTGCAACTTCCCTAATTCGCTCCCACTTCGCATTTACCATCAGCAATTGCGATACAATTGCGCCTGCTCCTTCTTCTTCCATTCTTTGCACTAGTTGTTGACCTCTTAAGATTGGAAATAAATAATTTTCGAGACATGTAATACTTCTAAAAATTCATCTTAATAAGATAAAAGTTGAAATTTTTTCGAAAATGTTAAAGTAGAATAAATAAATGCTTAATACTTATACATGCATTGTTTAACATGTTATGATAGATTAATCAGTGAATAGATAGATAGATTAGATATCATACGATCTTTCAAAACCTCCGTTTAAACTGACTGAAAATTGACTACAAATTTTTGTGATCTTAACATATTTATCACACTTGCGTGCTCAATTATTGAATTATTTTATGAAATTTTCCTTGAAAAAATTTCCAAATTCCAATAATAGCATAGTTATCAACAGCAGACCTATGCAGTACTCGACCAACGCCATCTTGACTTTCGGTTAGTGACTGCATGAACATTTCATGCTCCTTGAATTGGCTCTTTACTAGCTCAACCTATAATGAGATTCTACAGTTCGCGAATTTTTTTTGAAATAATCATTGCTTTCCTATACTTACTTTGCTTGCTCTATTTACAAATTTTAGTGAAAAATGAAGAAATGAATGAAAAGAGATTAATGAAAATAGAGATCGGATCATCAGACACTGTTTCAAATAGTGAGATTATGAAATTAAATCAAATTCAATTAAATCCTAAAAACATAAGTCAAAACTTGCATCATCTTTTTCAATAGATTTCATACAGTTAATCTGCTCTTCAGCTTCGAGTAACCATGCCAGTACATGTTCCAGGCAATCTTCAAATTCGACAACCGTCTCTTCCATCGCTTTACCTCGTCGTCGGGCCGATTTCTGACTTGATGTGGAAGATTTACGTGATCCAGTATCGATATTCTCAAAAAAATATTTAATTTATTAAGCCCTCTTCTCATTCGTGACTAAACTTTTTAGACACCATTGTCTGGATGTCAAGATGACGACACAACATTCATCATTTTCTTCTAGCAAACAAACTGTAGCATTTTTATTGCTACCGACACTACATTTCTGTCAGTATCCTTAATTTGCATTGTCAAAACTGTTATTAATTAATGGCAGTATGAAAATTTATAGAAGAGAAAATTGGAAGTGCAATAATTACAGCAAAAGAAATGGCTAAAATCTCGAATCGAATCAGGACAACATGCTATGTAACATATTAAATTTTGAGGGAGAAGAATGAAGAGCACAAAAGGGAGTGTACGTGAGAGTTGGAGATAGACTGGAGTTGATAATTCAACAAAAGCTTAGCGCAATTATCTCAAGAGCATTAGAAACTCAAATCATCTTAGTCTGCCTTGCTTTATTCTCTCCGGTGATATTTTATAATAAACAATCAACTTTGAAGCATGTACATGAAATTTCCTAAATCTTGCATTACAGCTGGAATTCATGAATTTTTGAAACTGCAAAAAACTGTAATAGTTTGATGTAAATCCCTTCTTAAATGTCTTGCGCTCAAAATTATCAATTTAAAACCAACAACATAAGCATACTAAAAACATTGCATAAAACATATTTCAGTTTTTGTTGGCATTACAAACAAAAAATTTATGGAAAGAAATAATTTTTCAATATCAAAGAGTTTGAGTTTAAATTAGTTGAACGTTTCAAATGTTGCTCCAAATATTTCGATTTGTGACCATAAGTGAATTTCTGTGCATTGTTTCATTCTAATTTGTAATTCAGCTTTAAACAAAAGATTGTTAATTGTAAAAATATAATTTTTTCCATAAAGATTTATTTCTTAAAATTTTTCCCGACAAATTGCAATCATAAATTTTTTTAATGATTATTACTACAAAAAAAAAAAAAAAAAAATCAGAGCAGCAAGTGAATGAATGAGTGAACTGAAATGACAGCTGATCAAAGATGTCAGATTAGAGTTCTCGAGTAATATTTGCAGAATTATACATGCAAGTTTTTTTTTTTTTTTTCGTTTTTGTTGGGAAAAAGTCTTTTTAGTTCGAAGTCGAAACTTTCATTTTTTAAATCTAACTTTTTTCAAATGACCACTAAAAGATAATGAATGATGTATTGGTAGTCGAACTATTACTGTAGGATTGGCTTGTCTGATGAACAAAATTAGATTAGATCTATTCAATTATTGGCTCATCAAGCATCTTGCATAATACTTAACGTTCAGTTGCACTTAAATCTGAGCTTGAAGTATGCAAGGCAGAATGTGAAGACATTTGCATTGATGTCACAGCTCTGCCCGGAATTCTTGGTTTAATGAGTTTTTTACTGAAGTGTGCATAGATTTAAGGATTAGTTAAACTAACTTCGTTGGTTAGTTGTGAGTGCCTTCTGGATGATGGGGCAGAAGAAGATTGTTCGGGACTTCGAACCGGATATTCCGCCTCAGCATGAGCAATCTCTACCGGTTGCATTACTGAATCTATCATGGATTGAAAATTGCTTTTTATATCATCTTTTTGGTTAGTTATCCCAGGGCTTTGTGTGCTTTTAGAAGATTCCGATGATTCTGCAGCTTGTTCAGACGATTGTAGTTCAGGATGAGACTGAGGTTCCGGTTCCGGTGATGGAACTCCAGTTGTGAGTGAGAGGTAAAGTACCATGAGATAACATACAACACTTTTCATATCCAAACGTTCGCTGGAAAAATCTGAAAAATAATTGGCTATCTCATAAAATACCACATTACATTCCTCTTCTCCTTTCTTAATTCCATTTCATTCTAAGTACTGTTTAACTTGATATTTGACCATTCGCATAAAATATGAAATAATGGGAAAAAGGAAATAGAAAGAATGAAAAAGCTTTCTACCGAGAGACAGCTAAAATTGAAAGAGTGCTGGAAAGTAGAGGTCAGGGCCAGAACTACTGCTTTCCCATACTTAGTAGTTATATAAGAAATAATTCATGAGAAATATTTTGCCTTCTTATTCGGGAAGGCTAGAGGCTATAACTTTAACAGATTGCAAATTTCTTGTAGGTGAAGGAGGAGAAACCTTTCGGATGAAGAAGACGTGGAGTATTGACATAACGTTCGGCTAGGCTCATTGCATGTTCAATGCGATCAACCGCCCGCATGTCACGTATCTGATTCATACTGAATAGTTCTGGGCTAAAAATAAGATTAAGTAAGTTGAAGATTGAATGCGTACATCTTACGAAAGTTCTCCTAGGTGGTTGGAAATCTTTATTCTACTCCATAAGTTACTTCTCCTGTCCCAAGAATAATTCAAATTTGCCCTTGAGTTAACAACTATCAATTTCCTTTTTGTCGGTTCTTACTTCAGTTTTTACACATTGACTTAAGTTTCATACTAAACGCGTCTCAAATTCTACCATCAAGAATTCTGACATTACAATGAAATCTTGAACTATTAGAATCTAACCCTCAATCCTTTTACTGAATGTTTCAACTGGGCTTAGTCCAAATTGCATTATATTTTATGATGAACTGTGTGTAGAAAGATTAACTTATATGATAGTAAAATAGCATTTAAAGCATAGCCATCTCTCCACGACGAGATGAAATCATTAATTTGCACTTCAAAGCGTTGCGCTCGTTCAACACACCAATCTTTCAGTGCCTCAGCCATTTTCTGATCACGAACATCAGCTGGAGCGAATCTGAAATTCGATAAGATTGAACAATTTAGTTTTTTACAAATCAGTCATTTGAACCAAAAATTTATTTTATATTGAAGCTATCAAAGTTTTAGTAAAGAATGAGAAAAAAAATCCCAATATTTAAAATTATTTATAAAACTTTGTCAGTACGATGAATAAATTAAGATATAGGATTTTTACTACAACAATAAGTATTTTGTGACAAAAATTAAGAGGAATTTATTTAAGCTAACCATCACATTAATTAGCAGGCAATAATTAAGAATGATAAAGGGAAAAATAATACAAAGGGAAGGAACAAAATTCAAATTGTGAAGTTGGAAACAAATTAGTAAAACATAATGTGTTCAGTACTGCTTATCATATCATTCTTTCTTGATAGAAAATAAACTTTAAATCATAAAATCTGCTAAAGTTCAAACTTTTATATAATTCAAGCATTGACCTTTTCCAAAAAACCTGTACAAGCTGCCAAACAGCGGAACATACGGCTCGAGGATTTCCATCAACAAGTTCGTTGACGCTTATCTGGCTGAAACGTTCATCATTATCGACAAGGCGAAACGCATTTGATATATCCTGTACTCGAGAACCCGAGCTTATCTGAAATATTATCATTCTATATATATATGAATGATATCAGGATGCAAACTACCAATTCATCTAGTATAGCAAGCAATCGATATTAAATTATTGTTAAGTGTCGGACATGTTTATCGAGCACGTCACAAAGTAACCATGGGTTTTCTAAAATTGATCTATCCATTCAATACTGACTTTTTATCTCTAGCTTTTTTTTTAGTTTCGAATCAAGAAAGACAGAAATAGATTAAATTTGGAAATTTCTGAATCAAATTGAATTAATTGAATTCACAAATTTCATCAAAAAATTTGTGCTCCGATGCAATCAAATTTTTAAATAAAAGCATTTATAAAACTTACAAATAAATCTCCTGTAATAAGTTGCGTAAAAATAGATAGAAATTTTGTATCAAAAATATCGTTTAGTTCTTTCACTACTCCATCAGCCAATGAATTTGCCCAACGCATAAATACAGCTTCCTGAATATCGTATCGATCATCTGGAAATCATTTTCTTTAATTAATTCCATGTCCTTTTGTAAAAAAGTTCAAGTAATTCTTGTGTGAAATTTAAAAATGATTTTGGAATTATTCTGACTTAAATTCCATTCAGTGACAATGAAAGATATTAATAACCATAATTCATAGTTACTAAAAACCTTTCTAACTCAATCAGAAAATGGACCAAAAGAATGAATTAGTAGTGCTTTTAGACGATGAGTTATTCCTAAAAAATTTGATATCGATGTCATGATATACTTATCCCAAATTCTAAGCTCATAATTTTTGATTGGGTCATTCGATAAGTTTCATGAGACTAAAATTAATTAATCTTGGAATTTAATCAGATGAAATAATTAGAATGATTTTTTTTAAGATGGAAAAAGCTAATTTGTAAGCCGCAAAACATATTTCGATTAGGCCAAAATTTAACTTAAATTGATAAGATGAAGTTTATAACAGCGATGCAATTAAATTATAGACTACCAAAAATAATCAAGTCTATAATGTCAATAAAGTTAAACAATTTTAGTCCACTCAATAAATTTAGAAAATTTTTTTCTTATTGAAACTTATATTCTGTTTCACACAATAAGTCTGAAATTTTTAATGATTGAAATTAATTCTTGAAAAAAAAAGTTGAATTTCTAGAAAAATAAAACAGCTGTCTGTTGACCCATTAAACATAAGTTTTTTTCTGGCTTAATGAACAAGTCGCATCGTTGCATAATCTATAACTTTCAATTTTTGTTTTCATCAACATTTGTATTGATTTCCCAAATAATAGGAAGTGAAATGATTGCATAAGAGTGTAATAAGACGGAATACTCTCGGAAACTTTAAACAAACTAAGACAGAAGGTCGGTTAAGGCTAGAATGATTCTTTAAGCCGTCGTTTTATAAACATTTGATCGGCAAATGACAATTCTGGTGATTGTAATCAGCACAGAATCGGTAGCTTTTCACTTTACACAATTGACGGTACTAAATTTAATTAACTCACAGAAATGTAAAAAAGGCACAATGATGAAAAATGGCTTATCTTAATTTTCGATATCTTATCTTGATATCTTAGAATTCCTAAAGAATAACTATTCATTCAGCTCGGTTATTAGAGATTTTGCCAGATGAAAGGGTGAGAAGAGGATTTAATTTTCAAATATCAATATTTTTGCATATATGTAATAGCTAATCTTAAACTCTGCAAAATGCCTACTGATAAATATCATTTCATTAGCAGCATCTCAAGTAATTAAATCACTTGAGATGCTGAAGTTTATTTCAAAATTTAATATCTAACTATGCGCGCTATTGAACCTAAAAATATTGCTTTCGCAGAAGGAGGTAGGATCACTTTTGATAAGATCATCTAATCAAATAGGTTAACAAGTTTTCAACACATATACTCTTTCTGATTTAAATAATCGCATTTCATAAATTTATATGATGGAGCAATGCTTACCACTTCATGATAAAGATAAATTAGCTAAAGTTATTTTACTTGGAAGAAGCATTCTACTATAACAAATTTTTCCAGCTAATGCTTCCAAAAAACTAAGGTTGCCATTATTTTCAAGGGAAAAGTAGTGCAATGTGTTCAGTGAACAACGACATTAACAAAATATAATGATTTTTAATTGATGAAATCTTAATTGATTATCAGTTAATCGTTCTTGCGTATCGCTTTAAGATTTTTAATGCGAAGTAAGCTTTAAGTGAAGAAAGATATAGGATAAGAAATAGACAAATGACAAATGATATGTGATACCTGAAGATATAATTACTTTATAATTAATAGTGATAATCGGTGGATTGTTTAATTAGAGAAAGCTTCGACTAAACGGAAGCAAATTTAACAAACCTTTCTCCAATTTCTTCTCCTTTTTCTCATCCTTTTTGACTTTTGCGGAAGAACTTCCCGAGAAGAGCATTTATATGATAAGTGTGCGTGCGTACAACTAATAACGGCAACCACACAACTGACGGGGAGTGCACACACCTACACGGACAGACAGACTGGGCGATCACGCACTAATTGACCGCAATATTGTTGGTGGGAAGAATCCGATGATGATGATGATATTGGAGGTCGTGGTGACAGTGACGATGACGATAAAGGTGATGGTAGCGGGATGAGGTGGTGGTGTTGTTGATGACAATGATATGAGATGGTGATGGCGATCGGGTACGGTTGGTTAGTGGTGATAGTAGTGGTGGACGAGTGGAAATACCAGGCAAATTGAGAGGACAATAAGATGAAAGCGAGGAGGGAAGCAAACTGCCACCTTGCCAATCTCCATTTCCTTCCCTACCATCCCTTTATTTCACTCTCCACCTATGCTCTCTTCAATATCTCAGGCTTTGAGTTCGAGATTCTCGTGCTGTCGTTGCTCGGCTTTCCTGTTTCTTTCATATTCTACATTCTGTTTCACAATTACTCTTCTCTACCAACACTACTCTTTGTTCCATACCCTCTTTAAAGCAAGATCTCGAGACTGTCGAATTCAAGCTTCCCAGTGTTGGTCGATTATACTGCATTCATCTTATCAACTAATGATTGTAATAATCAACAGCTGGAAGTATATCATCATCTGACCAGTTTGATGCCCAATTTCTAATCTTTTGCAATAAAACATTAACTAACTTGCTATTCATTACTTTTCAATTACTCTGAAACATTTATTTTATATCTCAGAGAAAAAAAACAAAGAACTCATTTTCGAATGTTTTTTACTTTTCAACGATTACTTTTTATTTCACTTCTTCTTGACCGGATTTGTCCTTCAAATTTTCTATTCGTTTCATATTTGGCTCATTCCTACAAACGACAGAATTAATTCTAATTTTCATCCTTCTTCACTGCCATCACTGTTTCATGGACTTTTGATAACCATACTGCAAGTAGGAATCAAAACACAATTACAGTTGCATTTTCAATTTTTATAGAAATTATCTTTAAAGACTAAAATACAAAATCGAATACAACACTAAAAGTAATCAGTCGGTGAGATACTCCCAAGCTTACCGATCAATTCGGATTCAAAAAAAATCTCTCATATCAGTCATTCATCTTCCCTACTTTTACGGTCTCACTGAATACTGCTTACTTTGGAAGTATTATTTTCCACAGCTATTACAGTCATCAGTATACTAGAACATATGATCTCTTAGCTGAATAGGAGCATTTCTTATCGATGACACATTTAACGGAACTGATAGATAATCTAAAAATCTGAAATCACATGTTTTACCGTTGCCGCCGAAGTATCATTCCCTTTATCGTAAACATTTACGATAGTGACAGTAACTTACTGCAAAAAGTCTAATAAAATTTTAACTTTATTTCTTGTATAAGGTAACCCAATACCAATTCCTCGAGCTTTGACATCATTTTTAATCCACACATAATTTAATTTTGAGAATAAAATCAAAATATTTCAGAGATACGTAACAAAAGTCAGATTAAATTACTCGAAAATGCCGTATTTATCCTAGAAGAAAAGATATCTGCTTATTAGCGATGGAATAATAAAGCCGATACTGCTTATTAGTAATAAATATGCTTTCAGTGAAGCGCTTTTTGCAAATAGAGCTATACCAGTATGATATATTCTCAATTTCGAATGAAAATGCCCTTTCATTTCAAAATCTCGGCCTTAATATTCATAATTATCAACTCCCATGCAATATGAATCATTAAATTTCATTGAAAATTGAACAAACCTTCAAGATCCATATATTCGTTATAATATAAAATTCTTTCTTCTTTTTCACCTTTCTCGAAGTCTCTTGTGAGCTAGCTTTAATCTCAAAACTAAACTGATGAAAGAAGTTATTTTTTGGGCAATAATTAGTTGCAACTATCTTGTTAAAAAGCTAAACTTATTAAAATCCAATAAATGAGATTTGAAATATATAAATGAAACTATGAAATATAAAAATTTTGATCTTTTCGAAGAATCTCTTCTAATTTATTGGATTTTAATCAGCCATAATATACATATCATTTGTGTATTATGCGAATTAGATTAATAGCGCTATCTTGTATTAAATACTTGATCACATTGAAATTACATCAAAATGAAAGGATTCATTCCACTTCAGTTATCAGTATGATCCCAGGGAATATTAAATTGTAGTTCAATTTTTTATTTTTTGATTCAAATCTGACTTAATTGAAATGGAATTTGAATCCACGCTTTAGCATTTGTTTTCTTTTCAAGAGCATAATCGTCACAGTAATGAAGATGGAACTGATCTATTCCTCGGGTGCTATACTTGAAATAGCCTCAAAATTTATTACTTTAATAAAGATAATGCACAAATTTCAGAAAAATAAGCAAAATTTAAGTGAAATGCGTTTTTGTTTGGAATTCCTTTACTTATTTTTTTTTCTGTGATTTGTACGTAAAATATACAAAAATCGAGATCAAGAAGAAAGAAATTCCAATTCATGTAAGTTAAGTGTTTGATTTATAAAATTCGAAATCTCACTAACAGCAAAATGAGTACTCAATCTTTTTAAAATAACGACTTTACTTTAAAAATATTGAAATGCATTTTATTCTCACAAGTATAGGCAGTGACAAATAAGCTAGTAATTGGATAATTTTCATTTTATAACTGGAAGGAAATACATTCTCAATTTTCTAAACTGCATAAGCAAGCAGAGAGGAATGTTTGACCAATACTTGAAAGTTTTTCTTAATTTGTGGGGGAGAAATTCTTAGCAAATTGGGGTAACGATTAAGCATCAGATGAGATGAGAAATGGGTGTTTGTCGTCAACTGGAGTTTGGACTGGTATTGTAATTTGAATTGACAATTTTGATTTCGAAAACTCTGCCGTAAAAATAGATGAAATCAGTAGAGGCAAAACAAGAATAATGTCCAACTGGTCAACTATGCTTGCTCAATCAGTCCAGTTTTGAAATGATTTCATGAATTTTTTATCACCATACACATCCTCCCGAGAAACACATAAATTTTGCTATTCATGAGATGTTTTATTCTTGTTTCAGTGAAAAACTGCTTATTTGAAATGAAGTTTTTTTTTGCTAATTCATTTCTACCCAAAATGGAAAAATATTTCCATAGTATTATCAGTGGAAGCACAGTTTTATGGAGAACGATTAAGAAAGATTAGTAGGAAACGGAGAAAAACCGAACTATATATTCGTTTAACTTCAAAAAACTTTTCAGTTGTGAAGGATCAGAAAAATTCTAAAAGTACAAAAGAAGTGAAAAGTTTATTTTTCATTGTATAACAAATGCACAGCAAAAACGGTAATCCAAGAAACGCAAAATAATCTTCGCTACCATGATATCATAAATATTCTGCATTGATTTAAGATAGAACGACTCCGACGATTTGCATACAAAATAGCCTGCATAATATGATATATCCGATTACCAGCCTAACCAAGTGACAAAATATTCACAATTCTGCGGTGATATGATATGACCTGGTTTACAATCAGCCTGAATGGGGCAATGAATACAAGGGCAAAGAGATGGAGCACAGCGAGTCATCTTAGCTGTCAGGGCCCGATACATGCCATCTGCACGTCGTTCGATGAAACCATCCAACAGTGCTACTGACAGGATACTCTCAATATCCACAACACTGAGTTGCACACGACAAACACCCTTTTCACGAATGAATTGTGCTACTTCGGTGGAACGAACGAATGCAAACTCTCGAGCAGCTGAAGGGTCATTTTTGTGGTTATCTTCAGATAACTTCCGCTTGCTCTGTAATGCTTTTTCTATTATCTTAAACATCAAGGGGGAAACTCTGACAAGTATAAAATTTAATCAACTCGTACTGCACCACACAAAGAGCTGATAAATCCAAAATAAAAATAAGACATGCCTTTTATATTAATGATATTCCGTTGTCACAAGTACTATATAATTAAGCAACATAACTTTCAGGAAAAACCAGAAGTCTTCGGAAATAATTTTCAAAAACTCAAACTGTTTGAAAGTGTATTCAAAAATTTGAGGTAGGACAAATATCGAACTGACTGCGCTGTAAGCAACCTACTACGAGTGCTTGTATCAGTTCGAATTTATGATATTCCGTTGTCACAAGTACTATATGATTAAGCAACATAACTTTCAGGAAAAACCAGAAGTCTTCGGAAATAATTTTCAAAAACTCAAACTGTTTGAAAGTGTATTCAAAAATTTGAGGTAGGACAAATATCGAACTGACTGCGCTGTAAGCAACCTACTAGGAGTGCTTGTATCAGTTCGAATTTAAGCAGCTATTTCAAAACCTATAACAAAAAATCACCTGCAACATCGCAACACAAATATGTGCCAGAGTTTCGACAAACTGTGAATCCAACTGTTGATCAGAATAAAATGTTCCACCTGTTAAAGACTCATCTGCCACCATATCGTATAACATATAGCATTTTTTTGTTGTACCTACCGCCTGTAAAATGATGCATCTTTTCTTACTAAAATTAAATTGGTGTTTCATTTACGAATGATGCTTTCACGTTTCTTCTTTCTTTTTTTTGCTTGTTTGCATAGATAGCACACGAGAATGATGTAATTAAAGTGCATCGTACAGTTCGAAACGATGAAAAACAAGAAAAATGATAAAATATTAACTCCCTTCCTTTGAAAGGAGGAAGCTTATTAAAACATCAGTAAGAAAAAAACACCTACTAAAATGGGTCAAATCTACGAATCGACATGAAATAAGAGATTTTTATTCAAATATATAAAATCAAAAAGTAAAAAGAAACTTTTATGGACTTGACAAGTTTGCGTTGTTCCAATACTTTCAGAACTTTACGCATTTGCGTCTGCGACAAACCAGTCCGATCACGAATATCCCGTATCCAAATACCTTTTTTACCCGACTCTTCAATTAGTGAATAAATCTGCAACACAAGTGATTTTAAATTCAATCTGAACAGGACACGAAAAATCGATAAAAGCAATGAGTAACGAGTAACTTCTAATATTTAAATAGTTGTAGGAAAAAAAAAATGGAGAAGAAAACGAAAGTGCCAATAGCCATTATAAACTATCTGGTAGTCAATTCGGCATAATTTTAATTTCATCTCATCAATTGCTTAATGACAATAATATGTAAAAAAAAAAAAAAAAAAATGATCAAAAATGAAGAACTGCTTACCAACTGTTCCTCATGCGTAGCATCTGCAATTTGCGTGCCCTTCCTTAAACGTAAGATAAATGCACCAGATGTATGACCAGGTAACATTTCGATTTTACCCGATGATAACAAGACATTGACTGCTTCGCCACGTGCCTTGACATCCATTCCCGTTGTTCGCTTCATCAGATCTTCGTTACTTAAACCATTCTCATTACTTGCTAAAACAGCAAGGACGCTCGCCTGTGATGCAGAAGCTTCTTCTTCTTCTTTAACCATATTGACAAGAATGAGATGATTTGTTACGGATTCAGTACAAAGTGCATTACCTTAAAAATCTGCAGTAGTACGACGTATCAAATTACCACATACAAAAAAAAAACCACCCAAAATAAATGAACAATAGAATTTTGGTCTAATTTAGATAATAGTGAAACCTGTATAAAGTTTCAACCGTTTTCACTTCATTATCAACCAATTTATTTTAACAATGACTACCTACAAGTGAAAGGCTACCCTGTAGCAAAAAACTTTGAAATGTCCTCTAAATGAAATGAGCTCAATCTCTCTTCCAAGGAACAATTTACCAGAGCTCCACTCTGGCCGAGTATAGACGGATTTGATCGTTTTAATGAACATAATAATGGTAAAATATTTAATAACAATTTCCAAACTAATTCGTCATAGAAGAAAAAACAGAACACATAGGAGGATAATATGAATATCATATACAAATTATATAACAAGGATAGAAAGCAAGTAAACAAATTAGGAGCAATCAGCTAGTAAACAGCATCAAACTATAGGCGAATAAGGAAATGAAGAAGAGAAACAACTGTACAAGTTATTTGAGAGAAGACATTACAGTAAGAATAAAGCTAATGTAAGGAATACTTACGATCAATTTTATACCGCCATTTGATGAAAAATCATGCGGTACTGAAGTTCTTCATAATTTCGCATATTACTGAACTATACTAGGAGGAGTATTATGTCCGGAAATCGCCGCATTTCGCACATTTTTATCCATGAACTTATCCGAAATTCTCTCTTATACCTCTTTGTAAAGCATCTATAAATTGATTGCAATATCACATCCCTCCTTGTAGATAATTTACTACTAAAATATATCCATGTCTTTCTCTTCAATATTTGCATGTTCCTAACACAAAATATTAATTACCTTCAAAATGATTTTTTTGAAACAAATGATCCCGACTGATAACCATTCAACACACTAAAATCTTCGTTTACCTCACCTCAATTCACGTTTTTGTAAATAAAAAGACTTGTCGTTAAAATACGCAAATTTATTCCGATTTATAATGCTTCTATTCCTTAGTGATGAAATAATTTCTTATATCGCCAATGAAAGATGAAACTCCTTGTTAAGAAAAAGATTACCTGTTTTCTTCTTTTGCTGCGTAGAAATTTTACAAAAAGATGTTACTGTAGACAAGACTCAAAATCATCGTAAAAGTTCAACCTGGACCGAAAGAAAAATCATTCGTACTACTTCTCAAACGTTAGATTTTTTTTCACCAATAATGCAACCACCGCCAAATAACTTAATGAAACAGTACAGATAATAAGACTTGAACTCTCGTAATGCATTGCAATACCCAACGATCCTTTAATCAAACATCTTTTGTTATATGAACTCAATACTTATAAACTATTGGGTCTATGAATGTATTGATTGATTTAAATCTTAATTCAAGATAAAGTGCATCATTATTAGACTATTGCAGCTCGTAGAAAATAGCTAGCATAAAAAACGATTTTTGCAATATTGAGATAGCAAGAGGAAAAAAGGAAATCAGAGGAAGAGAGCCTTGAGTCTGTTTTCTATCACCACTCATTAGCTTTCTCTTTTCGTTTCCTTCTCGATAAACAAAAGGTAAATGAATAGTTTTAGTTTCGCGTTTTCAACAAAATAAAAAATGGGAACAAACTACTTTGAGAAATTATACTTTCTTTTATCAACCTTTCTTTTCGCTGCATTTAATCCTATAATTTCTAGTTTTTGTTTTGTCCAGCTATCTGTTTTAAACACAAAATTTGGCTTTATCGATTAATTAATTCCATAAATTTATGTCTTCATCTCTCTAGCCGCCCACTTTGGGTTTACTGTTATACAAATAGGCCTAATATTTGTTTACGCCCGAAAAAACTTGTCAGCTTTTTTCAACACACGAAGGGATTCCCAATTTGTCCAAAATTTTGATTTCTTTCTGCATGACAATAATTACTGACAAAAAGAAAACCGGAAACTCATTAGTAAAAAACAATGAATCTTACGATTATTACGGTACGAAATCTTCCTACTAGAGCTGTTAAAAATAATCCATTAGTACTATAAGTAAATCGGTGCTTCCTCTTCCTCTCCTCTCTGCCTTCTCTTTTGCGTCTCCAACGTTTTTTCTCTAGATTTCGCAGCTTGGCTCAATGTCTACCACGATTAAAATATATATATTTAAAAAATATATACATATGGATACATAGATACACCAGCAAACGGATGAATATTATTTCGTCATAAGAAGCATAACAAAGAGGGCGTAAAAGTACTAACACAGTTTTAGCTCATTGCATAAAATCTTCCCTTCGCTCCTTATTCCTCAGGCTTTTATCTCACTCCAGCTGGACCGGCTTCGGCATCATCATCATCGCCAGCTACGCCGAACTCCTCTCTTGACTCTACTTCCTCATCTTCCACTTCATCAACTGCCTCCCTACTGCGTTCTTCCCGGTTATTAACGTCAGTTGCTTCATTAACGAACATCCCGCGTAAAACATTTAGTACCTCTTCAATGCTAGCATTCAAGTGTTGAGCCTGAAAAGGATAAAACTCATCAGCAAATATACATACAGTTATGTACTTCCCATATCAAACACGATTAAATGACTCCTCCCACGATATCTTCATTTGCAACTAATTAACTTATTATTACAGTTACCACTGTGAGTGAGGCAAAGCAACAACATAGTACACTATTAGAACCGCACAAATCCAGCAGCTCCGGCAAATGTTCATTTCGCGACGTGTTGTTGGTAAGATTATTATTTTCTATTCTTTTGGAATTTGACCACATCCTTCATCTAAAGATTTCTTATTAACTTTCTTTGCCCAAAAATACAACTCATCTACTGCTTGCCAGAAAGAGCTAACGCGCATTATAACAATGTCTGATAAAAGCTGGTAAGCTTTTAGTTAAAGAAAGCTAATAAAAAACCCCACTTAATCTGATTACTTTAAACCATATCCATCCATTTTTTTTAGATTTTTTTTTTTCACGCTGCATATTGGCACTACATCATCGATCTTACAAATCGTTACTCTTGTTTCAACAAATTATCAATGTCCGCTAGTGGACTCTTTTCGCCCAGTGTCAGTACTATCCAAAAGATTGTTTTCTGGCTCAACACATATCGCATAGCTATCAAATATGAAGAGCTACTGTTAGTAAAATAAATGTAGCGAATTCTGTTTTTTTCCAAACTCTGTTAAGGTACAAGAAATACACGAAGCGTTTTTAAATCGGATATAACATTACAATAGAATTATTTTCTATCACTCATAATCACTCAAAAAAAAATCACTCAAAAAAAATCACTCTATCACTCAAATCAATATCTTTATGCCGCACTTCCAAATATATATTAAAAGATAATGACTCAGATCTCATCTAGACAGGGCCATGTTAAGTTCATCTTTGTAAAATCGATCAAAGATCAATTTCAACAAAGTTTAATTAAAAAATAAGCTTCCATTTTTTTGTCTCTCTAGAACGTCATTTTAATATCTGGAAAAATATGACCAGATAATTTTGTATTGAAATAAATAGTAATGCATAATAACACATGTTTGAAACACAAAGCAATGATGAGGGCAGACTGGTTTTATAAGAAAACAAGAATTTATCTTTCCCTCTCCACATCTCACAAGAGCTATCTCAGCTCCTACAACTGGTATTTTGTGAAAATATTGAAAGATAGTATGAGTACAAATCCTTGCTTTTAGGATGCCTATTGATATCAGTTTTATTCCAGGATTTTGATCCAATAAAAGCATATAAGTAAGCAAAAAGTTTCTGATTATTCAAAGCGTGAAAGAAGGTCACGATCTTCTTTATTCCTTTTGCTGTTGCTGATTAAGATGAATAATTAAACTTTCTTAAATTTTGTTGGGGAATTAGTCGTAACTTTAGCTAACCTTAAAAGAGATGGTTTTTTTTTTCCTTAAAAACGGTAATTTCTTTTTTAAACTAAGTAACTTAAATTTTTCATTCTGTTAGTAAAATCGTGAATTGTTTCAGCTGTTTTGTCTTTTTTATAACGTCTTATTTTAAAAATTCAAGTTAGACATTTTTTGTCCAAATGGCTGATTTAACCACGAAATTGATTTTAACAAAGTGAAGAAATATTTGGCAATAAGATTCTAACATCGCTTTCTGCTTACTTTTCTAGATGAAAAAAAAGAGTCAGATGATACGGATGCTGATGCTATAATTTTTAACGATCCACAAGGAGTTACATTATCAAAGTATGTTTTGTTTCTACAGTGTATTCTTATGGCATTTATATTATTCAAATTATTTGTCACACAAAAATTTTATGAAGAATACACTATAGTCGTATAAAGAGCTCCAATATAAAGCCCTGCACACTATAGTCAAATGAGACAGTCCACTAAGAATCCGGAAGTTTGAAACTAACAGGATACAGCGGACATTTTCTAGAAATAAAATTGAAAGACTATCTTGTTGTTGTCTCAGCTGATCACTAAATTTTAATGAATAGGATGACTTTTTACTTAATGAAATAGTAAAGATCCAGAAGAGGAATTAAAATACGTCAAAATCAAAAATTGATATCCTAAGTTTTACTCCTTCGCTTTTAGATATTTGATTTTCATTTTCCACTTCTCTAAGTGCCTACACCATCTCTGATTGGATTACTTAATCAGCAAATTAGTTAATCTAATAGATCTTAGGGTTATTACTAATGCAACTTCCCAAAGTATCTCAACTAAGTCTACTGACTGAATATTCTAGCAATACAAAGGAAATGTTCTTTTTAAAGTTAATATCATTAATTACTTGTAAGCAAATTGTTAATAAAACAGACTTCTGCAGGCTAAAAAAAAATTTTTTTTAGATTTGCTCTCGGTGTCTCTGTGATACTCTATCTATGTGCAATGTCATCACTATTATTTCTGTATGAGTTAATCAAGCCAACATTTACCTGATCGTAATTGGGCCACACAGAATGTAGTAGTCCTGAGAAAAAGGAATCAGGCCGCGGTGTACTCGCTATTCTTTCATACATCATTCGACTATTATACGGTGGTGCGGGATCTGATAGAATCCATTCCGCATTTCTTGTTACTTCCCATAAGTATGCATGTCGTTCGATGTTCCGCGGTATTCCAATATAACATGTTTTTCTCCTGCAATAAGTTTCAAAATTTCCAGTCTAATTTTGCTCTTTGGTTGTTTCATTTCTCCCTTATTATCGTCAGTATAGGAAGGAATTATATATCATGCATAACTTCGACTCCACGGGATCCAGAATTCTGATTACCTTCTTCCTTTTACTCTATTACTGAAACCAGTTACTTCAAGTATCATTTTTATATCTGCTCAACTTACAAGTGCCTCCTCTGCTTTAGCCTGCCATTATCTTCATAATAAGTAAAAAACATTTAATATTGAAACTGACTATTCCCATTAACACTACATAGTCTATTCAAAACTAAGAATAGTGATATTTATTCCTTCCATAAAATCGGAAAACTTTTCCTGGATAATTCAAGCCTAAAGAATTTAAGTTAAAAAAAGGATGATGTTTGAAAACAACTGAAATTTCCCCATAAAATATTCCTATATATAACATATAGACTACTTTTACTCTGTGCAAAATTCATACAACAATGAAATTTTCCTCCTTTTTAACAAATAAATAAATAAATAAACCTTGAAGTTACGTTCTTAAATTATTGTATTATGAAATTTATAAACAATGTATTTCTGTTCGTTTTAAATGTTCACTATTATTATGGTGCTAGATATGGACAGAACACAGCACATCATGTAAACTAAAATTAGGCGATCTAATTTATTGACAATTTAACCAACGCAATGAATGAAACAGCTTGAAAATCGCCATGGTTACTTCACTCAAAAATGAACTGACAAAGCAGTCCAGAAGATTCTTCTACTACTACGAGGAAAACTAAAATACAAAAAACAATATTTCCGAAAGACCACTTTTTTCGATTTAGCTGGATGATTCCAATTTAAATAATGATACTAGGGGGTCTAAAAATATTACAAAAACTTGCAGTCTCTCCCAATCGGCAAGTTCTTCTTTGAAATTATTGAATGATGATATGGTTGCTAATGTGATTCCTTCCAGCCATGAAAGTATCGACGGATCTTTTAACCAAATCGACGATGCTAGCTTTACATATATTGCTGTGAGCAATTTTATTCCTTCACTTTCTCTGAAAAAAAACTTTTAAATCCAAGCTGAAATAATTTCTAATAAATTTTCATGGTATCCACAGAAAGATCGGCTTTTTATATATGTAGTGAAAAAATGCTAAGAGGAATACGAAGAACTGTTTGTAATATGTATAAGCCCCCTAAAATTTCCGAAGATTTATTACTACTCATGATGATTTTAATGTGGATACACCAAAAAGTAGAAATTAAAATTAAAAAAGGTTGACTATTCGTCAATTACTTCAGTTCAAACAAAGATTCCAACTAGAAATTCCTTCCCAGAAATTCGGAATTAACCTTTCATGAGCTAATGCGCTCATATATTTATTATTTTCTACCGTTAGATCAGGCTGCACGTTCATTGCATCTAAAAGTTTCAGTAGCACTGTTGGAAAATGTCGAATAGCCGAAGCAATCTAAAATTTACAATATAAGTGAAGAATTTTTCTTTGGAAGTTTGACATTGCTGTAAAATATTGTCGAATTAGTTTTCTAACTTCCTCAGTTCTTATATCAGTAATTCTAAAAAGCACAATCATACCATAAAATCAGCAACTTCCTTATCTCCAGCATTTCCACTTTCGCAGAAGAGAAAAAAATAGGCAAGGGAGACGGAATATGCGAAATTTGGAAGTCTATCCAAGTTTTTTGAAGCCTGAAAGTTAATGTGATCTCTAAACAAATTTCGAAAGTAATAATATTTTTTGTACTAATATTACCTGTAGCCAGGTGCAGATTATATTAGAGCGTTTAATCAAACCTCAAGTGACTGTAAGATATTTCATTTTTCGAGATAATTCTTCACTGTGCTACATAACACCTACGAAAATCTAATGTAGTACCACAGCGTAATGAATTGCTAAAATGGATCTAATGCCTTGATTTATATTTTTCATCAAATGTGAGTCAGGTCACAGAAATTTAATGAAATCCATTACTTGCAATGTATTGTATAGACGAATTAGATAATTGTACTCCCGTGCTTTCAAAGCAATCGTATCGATGGTAAGCATTATGGCAAGTGGATCCGATACAGGATCCAAGCGATAAATAAGTCTAGCAACATGAAGGGCCGTTTTGAAGCAATGACGGTCTACAAGGTTTCGCAGATGTCGATGGAGCAACAAGTAAAACGCTCGATTTTCGAAATTAACATAATCAATGCGATGATCAAAGTTGCTCAGTTGAAATCGAGGAGCAAATACGCTTTCACAACAAAATAGTCCACGTTCTAAATATATGTAATATAAAATATTACACATAAAATCTTAGAATTCTATAAGGTGAAAAATCTCTGTCTATAATGCTTGAAGGTTTCTAAACAGTAATAAGTTTAGTGATAAGTGTGAAATTTGAATGAATTATAAAAGATTACGGAAGGACCAATTCTGAGAGTTATGGTTATCGTACATTAATTATGAGATTACGCCACAATGAAGATGAGATACAGTAAAGAATCAAAATTAATAAATTATAATTAATAAAATCAAAATTAAACTAATCGTTACTTTTGATAATAATAATTTTTTAAAACTTACCAATTAAATCACGTGAGAACTGATAGTCTTCTTGTTGTCTTAATAATTCGGCCATAATAAGCAGGCTATCTAAGTGGTACGGGCATTGTGTCAAAATATTCTAAACCCATATTGGTTAAAATCATTGTGTGTCTAACTGACACATGCACGTAAGAACATAAGAAAACAATTCGGTTACTAATATCGAAAACCTATCAAAATTTCAAGATTGTTTGTTCTACTTTGGTTACTGTGTTCATATAAGAAAGTTCAGTGTTCAATAACAATACTTTAAATAGCAAATACTGATGTTTTTAGTAATAACAAAGGCAACAATTTTAAGCAGCAACATTTTTATTCGATATGCTTCTAAAAGTTTTGGGCAATGTAAGTTAAAAGCAGACCGATATAAAATTATGATTCAGTGATTCTGATGCAATCCAAAAATTTTGCTGTAATTCACGATAATAAGTGTGATGCGAAAACCTGAACCACAATATATTATCTTCGATGCGATCTAATTCCATTGATAAACCTTAACAATAGATGGATAATAAAATTCTGTCCTAAAGTGGGAAAGAGGGCACAAATATAAATAAACTTTACATGTCATAACTCAAGTTCTAATACCAGTTTCATGTATTATAGTTTCATGTATTATCTATCTATGTATAAAAATAAATCATTAACTATGATCGAAAATCCGCTGCATCCCAGAAAAATCTAGCATAAAGGATGAAAAATTTCTCCATGCATTAATTTTTAAATGCCAGTGAAGTATTTTTGACCTTTTCAATCTGTACGCATTATTATGTAATACAATTATTATGAATATGGAAGAAGACATTGAATCTAAAAGAATTTGTATATTAAAACACAACCGAAATACAAAGTTAAGCAGAGAGAAAAAAAATCATACTCACTGTTAAATTAAAATGTCTTACCAACATTTTTAACTTCTGGCCAAGTTGGTTTTTTTTTCACTATTTTACCAAAAATCACTCGTCCGCGTTGAAGTGCATCTGTGCTTCTTCGACCCAGGATTGAACGTAATTCATTCTCCACGTTCAGCATTCTACTGTCTACCTGGAACAATCACATCCGTTCGTTACATCAATTTCGGGGTTCCATTAATTTTCCAAATTTTATGTCAAATTTAAAATTCCTTTCGCTTACATGAATTACTACTTCCTTTGATTATAAATCCTTCAGTGAATATTTAGCTTACAAGTACAAGCATTTTACAAGCATTACAAGCAGACTTTTACTGGGGAAAAAATTTCATTATAGCATTACCTATTGAGCATTTCAGTTATATTATTTTACAAGAAAAGTAGTATGACTAACTCATTAAGGATGCATAAATATAGACCTTAAATAAATCTCTCTCAAAGACCATATCACTGTTTTTGGGAAGTTGAGTTTCCAGCGAAAGAATATCCAATATGTCTAAATCATCTGTTATAGTACAGTGTGCTTTTTTTTTTTCCTTTCTTTTCTTCTTTATCATTTTTTTTCCCTTTTTTTCCGGAATGTTCTCTACTGGTGCTTCCTCAATTAGCCCAGAACTTTCGTCTCCTCCTTCGCCGGATTCCTCGAGGAATTTATATCTGGAAAATACAAGAATGACAAAAAACAACTAAGCTAGACCGAGACTTTCTGAATCTTCGCTCGAGAAAGCGAGGTGCGTATAAAGACATGGAACAGACTATATAAAGTTCGTTCTACTAACGGGAATTAAAAATCATACTTATACAAGGCAAATCAAAAACTCAAAACTTTGCCGCAATTTTGCTTAGAAAAATGCAAGGTGGTACCGGCCCTTATTCAATGCATTTACCATCTGAACCTTTTTAAATATATGAAATAAAAAAGTAACCTATTGCACACAAATGCTTCCGACTTTCCTTCTTCATCTGCCGATTCGGAGCTCTCCTCTTTTTGTTGGACTAATAAGTTCTCCTCTCCAGTTGCCTTTTTTCCTTGTAAATATCGTCGCAAATGTTTCGTTGACATAATAATACTAATGCCTACAATTGTAACAAAAATTTCCCTGAATACCTGAACGTCCAATTTCTTACAACTACTTGGCGTTCCATTCCGTCTCCGTCATCCCTGCCACTGGTAAAACTGTTAAGAAATCTGAAAGATATCTCTTGAGCACATAGAAATCCTCACCAGTGTTTCTTCTCCGCTCACTGAGATACATCGCCCCTGCAGGCACCCCCCCTCCCCCTCACCACATCTCACTGTCATCCTTCTTCCGCAAATCCCGATAAGCACACACAACCCGAACCCACTGAACAGAGTCTGTTGTGCGAAGTTTATAATTTGAAGGTGACTATTACAGCTCTATTGCAACTTGGTTTTGGGGTTGTCGAGAAGGGGTTATTTCTATTAGAGACCTGAGTGACACATAATTTCTAGGATCTCTTTATAGATTGCCATATTCACTGAGTAAATTGCTTTAGCTTCTAATCCATATAGTAATAAATTCACGGATAATTCCTACTTCGAAATGAACTTTAATTTTATTAGTCTTTGTTCACATGAATTTAATTTGCCTCTGAAATGCAGACTAGATATGTGTTTTGAACTTCTGGAGAGCATTCTAGTCTTCTCATCCTTGAAACTTTTGCAAATAGACTTTGCGTAAGTATTTTACTACTCCAAGTTTTCTGATCAAAATTTTTTTTGTAGGCAACAAAATGGCTCCAAAGGGGAATAATATGATACCAAATGCACACTTTCATAAGGACTGGCAGCGTCGCGTCCGCACTTGGTTCAATCAACCGGCACGGAAAGAGCGTAGACGACGTAATCGATACAAGAAAGGTCGACTGATTGCACCTCGTCCCGTAGCCGGTTTGCTGAGACCAGCAGTGCGTTGTCCTAGTATTCGATATAACAAAAAGGTGAGACTGGGACGAGGATTTACCTTGGAAGAGCTGAAAGGAGCTGGCGTTGGAAAACGAGAAGCGCGTACTATTGGCATCGCAGTGGATTACAGGCGTACAAACCGGTCGCTGGAATCCTTGCAGGTATTTTTCCGCGGATTTTTCTTGGGATTATAGTGTTGATTTAGATCAACGTCACATTTTTTATTTTTATATGGCGCATTGTGAAGAATTTGGAATTTATCTTAAACGACACTTAAATAGAGAATCTTGTTGTAACACATAGATAAGTTACGCGTTCCCAGTCAAGATTTCATCATTTTCAGCAAAATGTCAAACGTTTAAAGGAATACCGGTCAAAACTAATATTATTTCCGAAGAAATTAAACGCGCCCAAGAAAGGAGATAGTACAGTGAGTATTTCATATACTCATGTCTTTTTTTTTCTTGCACTAGATATATGTTTGGTAGATTTGGAATTCACAGAGCTGTTTTGCAGGCTGACGAACTCAAGTTAGCTGCGCAATTGCGTGGAACCCTTTTACCTGTCAGGCAGGTTATTCGTCGTGAGAAGGCCCGCAAAATAACTGAGGAAGAGAAGCAATTCAAAGTGTACTGTCATTTACGTCGACTCCGCGCCGACAAACGTCTAAAAGGTGCTCGTGATAAGAAGGCTCGTGAAGTAGCGGAAGAAGGTGTTGGTGGTGGTAGACGATAAATATTTCTGAGGACAATTTGGTTGTATTTTGAATTGTTTTTTGATAAAAATTGTTACTTTTTCTGTTATATTTTTGAAAACCTGCATATTCAACTTTCCTTTCTTTCTTTCTAAAGACTTTTAAAAGAACTTGAGATGTTGTTTTCATTTAAGCTTTATATGATGCGGTGAAGCGCACTGCTCAACAGATATCATACGATTTATCTTGCGCTTTTATGTAAGGTAAATGGAATGAGTGCATGATTAATATGTGTACTTTAAAGATGTGAATACTGCAAGTTTCTGATTACTCAATTTATTCCACTCGCAGAGTATGATACGCAGTTTTCGAAGTTTTCCATTTTAATGAAATTGCTTGACAGGAGTAGGAATGCCGATCATGACGTAAACAACGTCTCTCGTAAATAATTTTCATGGCATAAAGTTATAAATACACAGAAATGCTCGCGGCATCATTCACGAAAACGTTTATATGAAAATTCACGAAGACGTGAGTTATTGATTAGGTTTCGTTCTTTATTTTGATTGGAAGAGTTCGCTTTTGACAAAAGGGTCAGGAATACACAGTACATAGCATATGAATAATAACGAGAAATATGTAGCAAACGAAGAGCTACAATATTTTGGCACAAATTTTCTTAAGCAAGAGCAAACATGTGATGGAGAGGAAGGATATAACTAGAAGATCGGGAATTTACAAAAAATTTGGGAAGTTATTGTTTGCTCATGCTAAGTATAATATGGATCAAATCGAGATTGATGAGACCTGTAGATGTATTTTCTGGTTAGAACTATCGCAATGAATTTTGCCCACTTTACAGCCTTAGCGTTTTGATTCTACCAAAATTGCAATCAAATTGTAGAAGTCTACGTTTTGTTTTAGTGTCTTGTTCTAACAAATTGTACAAAACGTCTTTCCTGAAATGTTCGTATACGAGCAAATTATACATATTAGTTGTTGAGTTGCTAAATGAAATACGTCTTGATATTGCAAATATTAGTGTAAACTCTTCCATGAAGTGTGAGAACAGCCAAATATTACGATCAGTTCCACAAGGCATTCTTTGTGCAACACAAAAAAATAAAGACTGCCTTAATATTCAGGCTCCTCTAAATTTAATACAGTTTTTGTATGCAATTTCAAAATTACTACCTCCAGTAGGTGTTATCATATAATCAGCTGGTGGATGATAAAAGACCTAGAAATGTTCTCATGAACAGTATGAGGTCATTGAATGTTTTTATGGAGTTTATCATAGGTGTCCTTATTCTTATAAGCTGCTACATAACCGGTTTGCTCGACGATATCCTCCCTGCCAAGTTTTCCACGTCCTTTACCCTCAGCATCGAAACGTTCCTTATGTGAACCGGTATATTTGGTATGGTCCGTTAAGCGATTGTACACACCATCAGCAGATGCTTTAGCGACACCTTTAAGTGATGGAGCTTCTAATTTTGACAGTTTTTCAATGATGAAATCCAATTCCTCCTGAAATTAAGAAATTTTAAAAGGAAGTCGGAAGAAAGAATGAATCAGGAATACTTGTTATCAAATATTTCGAAACGTCGAAAATGTTAGTGAAATTTTCATTCTTCATTTACAATATAACTGTTTAACTAGAAAACAGAAAACCTAGTTTTTAAATGAGAAGTTTTTTAGAAAATTTTGAAGAATTGAGCCTCATTTCCCATTCAATTCATCCAATAATTTCAAATTCACAATTTTTGGATTTGGAAATTAAATTTGGGAATTAGAAAGAGAGCTAAAAGAAGCAATTGGGAAAAAAAAAAACTATGCGGATTTTAATACTTGTGGATCCTTTTTGGTTGTTCGTGCTCGATCTTCCGCAACTGCTACCAATACATCTTTCGTCTCGTTGAAATTTGCTTTTTTTTTAGATCTGAAAACCACGGGATAGTTAAAAAAAGAGGACAGAAAATTTGGTTTTCAAAAAGAAAATCTTTTTTTATTTTTAAAATGCATGCACTTGTTTGTGTTCCATGAACCGTTTTGTGTAGTTGATGCAAAACAAGGACTAAACCAGATGTTTTTGGTAACTTCAGCCAGCAATTAATTTCTACTTCCTACTCAGACATATTTCTTCCAATATCTGTAGCTGATTCTTGATTCTACACATACAGATAGATAGATATCTTGCTTTCTTTTGGTGATAAAAGAAGGCGTATTTATACCTGAAGATATTTTCCGCTTACGATGTCGTGGACCTCACTCTTTTGGCATTGAAATTAACTTTAAAAAGTAGAGAAAAAACGAAACTGAAGGGAACATTGTAGTCAAAGTCAGGCATTCGTACGAATTTAAGAATCAACGAAGAAGCTTCACCCAGTAATTTTCGAGAAGGCGATTCCAGTCATTGTTGTAGTGATATTTTTGTTATCAATCACTCCCCCATCTTTCAACCACTTGTCGAAATTCTTCCCCGTCATTTCTACCGCTGACGCATTGCCAAATTTTACGAAACCTTCCCATCTGTAATTTAGTCGCTAATGAAATCGCTAATTAATTGTTCTTAACTGGAATCACGAAAAGTAGGTAATAACAGTAATCGAATAGTACATAATTTTCTTTATTTGTCAAACGCAAATTAGATAAAATATGTGAGGATTCTTTTATAAAAAATCTAAAATTCTTCCATTAAAAAAAAATCTTTTTCACTTCTATAAATAAAATATTAAACCTTCGATAAAAAAAAAAGTAATTTTATATTCTCAAAAGCAATAAATAGTTTGATTATCAGCAGGCAAAAATGCGGAAGAAATAAAGAAAATAGTTTCAAAAGGTCAAAAAAGTGGTTGCAAAAATTCTTAATTTGAGGTGTACAATAGACAGCACTGAAAATTAAAATTCTATAGTAAAAATGGCACTATTTTTCAAACTTTTTGCTAGTTCCTTTTTAATTACCTTTTTAAGCTATTGGATTCATGCACCAGTCTTATTGCTATGTGCAAAACTGTGAATGAAGTCAATTCTTATAGTAAGGAAAAAAAAAGGAAAAAAAAAAAACACTTACCGATGTTTTATTTCTTTCCCGTCCCATTTGAATTTGTATTCCTGTTTTTCAGACATACTTTTTTCTGGTGAAAACCCTGGAAAACCCAGATATCTTAGGAAAGTTTAAACTACTGCAAAATGAAACGGCGCAACGACATAACTGAAATAAAATTCATAATGCGTGTTTTTGAAAAGTTCAACAAAAAAATAATAATAATTAAAATTTGATGGTATAAAATAAGTTGGATTCGTAAAGAATGATAATTGCATCGTCGTAAGAACTGTGACAACTGACAATAAAATGAGAGATGAATTTAGACAAACGAACTATTCAACTCTTATGCCTTTTTTTCTTCTGCCAGTCAGTAATTACAAAGTTCCATTCCAAATTGTAACTTTCTTAATATCCAGTGCATCGTAATGTTTAATGTTTTCCAAAAATCACTTCATCATTTCTACATTTAAGAAGTGGTAGATCATTCTCCACTAAGTTGCTTTTATTTCCTTTATATTATAAACATCTTTTATGCAAATCGTGAAAGCTATAGATTATAATAGCAATCGCAGTTAATGATTTCCGC